GCCCCCCCCCCCCCCCCCCCACACACTTTGAAGCTCTACCAGATGAAAGGCCTTAATTGCACAAAATGTCAAAGGTCGTAATTGTTCAATTTTTCAGATCCTGTATTCCCTCAAGTATACTGAAAAGAAGTTAGGGACTGGGGGAAGTCGGGTCAGTCCCAATTCTTTTTAGCTTTGAATAGGGGTGGCCTCAAACCCACAATCTGCACCAGGGGGATTCTTGAATTGTTTTGTCTACTATAATAGCTGTGTACATTACATGGTAGTCTTACTGTAAATTTTGCATTAATTTGTGTAAACTTGCATGGTTCCAAGCTAAGACCTCCAGCCTGTAGATTTGCAGATGTAGGGTGCGATAATTCGCGTACTTACGACATGTACTTCTTTGTTTTCAACCAAGTATCACCCAGATACACGGAACTCTATAGGACCTTACCAAGCCAAGGTATTCAAAACCGTATACGTAACGGTATATAGATGCGTCTGACATGTCTTGGCATGCAACATGACTGGACTGATGGGACTGAAGGAATGTTGGAGTGTGTGTGTAATTGTCTTCCTTGTAGATTTAGGTTACTGAATGTCATTGAATACCTTCCAGAAACCTGTACTTTATATGTACATCATTCCAAAGAGTACACCTTCAGTCTTAAGTTTGCACCCGCTCAAGTACGAGGCAATAATTATTATAATAATAATGGTTTATTACATTCACTAAGTAGCTTGATAAGCTAAAATACAGTGATGTTTACAGTGATAGAACTTTTACAATGATAAAATGTAATGTAAAAAGTATTAATACTATGGTCTCTACTAAACTAAAGCTACTTTAATGTAAAAAGTCTTAAAACTATTGTCATATTTACATATAGAATTAGATTATGTTAGTTATTACTCACTATAATGTATAAACCCTCATGCTTACTTATCAATATAAAGATTATATTTGCCAATTGCATATACAATTGGACTATGTTTAAAACGTTCTGTTTTACATGCAAAGTTATAGTACGTTGCCTCATTCATTCTCGTCTCTCGTTGCTTTATTTGGGAAGTTTTCTTTGGTAAGAGGTGGTTAAGTTTATGGTTCGGGTTTGACATGTCCTTAATAAGTTGGACACACATGTCATCGCGTCGGTCGGTTAGCGATTTGAGGTTCGATTCCATTAGTGCTTCGAGTTCATGGTACTTTAGTTCCGGATAAATTATCCGTAACGCTCTTTTCTGGATTCGCTCGATATCTTCGCTTTGCTCCATTGTCACGCTTTGCTCCGCCGTTCCAAACTTGGGCGCCATATTCCAAAACTGATCTCACTACTGCTACGAAGAAAGTCTGCAGAGCTTCTTTTGGCGCATTATAACTCTTTAGAATCTTCATAAAGTATAGTCTCTTAGCTGCCTTTTTTGTGATGTACTCAGTGTTTGTTTTCCATTTAAGGTCATCGTCGAACCAGATACCCAGTAGCTTGTAGGATCTTACTTTAGTGAGAGACTGCTCCCCTAATGTAGATGGGGGTATAACCGTTTTATTATTACGAAAGTCGATATGCATTTCTTTGCATTTTTTAAAATTCAGTTGCATATTTTCGTCGTTCGTAAATTGTAATACACTCTCCAAATTACGTTGGGAGTTGCCGATCGATTCTCCAGAGATATGATCGGAAACGTTTAAAATTTCAGACATGGTAGTGTCATCCATAAACATTGAAACAGTATCACTGTTATCATCATCAGATGACTGAACCACTGATGGGAGATCGTTTATATGAACTATGAAGGCTAAGGGACCGATTTTACTACCTTGTGGCACCCCACCTTTAATATATGCAGGGTCGGAAAATGTGTTTCCGACTTTTGTAACTTGTGATCTGCCTTGGAGGTATGACCCGAGCCAAGCTAGCAATCTGGTCTAACACCTATTTTCTCAATTGGAGTACCAGTCAGGTACGACTAAAAATCTCGAATTATAGCACCCTGGAAGATGTTAGAGCTAATTCTTGCAGCATGTGTAGATCTACATCTGGTGTTGACTTAGAGGTTCTGCATGTTTTTGGTATTTTCGATGTCATTATTCAGGATAGATGATGACTTCAGTTTTGCTGATTTATTGTAGGTTCTATCATTAAAAATCTATCATCTGAAGATGAAGAAAAACACAGGAAAGCAATGGAGGCTTCAGAAAAGTTCATAAAAGTGAAACAAAATGTAGTAACAACTAGGAATAAATATGATAAAACTTCTTTTGAGGTGAGAACATATGGTAGTATAATACCTAGTTTACAGATTATTACAGTAGCAAATGCATGCCAATTACCAATTATTATGTAGGTATAATGGCTTTGGGCCATTATGGCTACGGGCCAATTTTCATACTTTAATTATTCCTTATTATTTATTTTTAGCAACAACAGGCAAACGAGCAAGGTAAATATTACCCTTAAATGAATATTACGTGCTAGCCTCCTTCACAGGCATCTCACCCGGGGAATCGGGTGGTCGGGAAAAAAATTGGTGAGACATTTTTTTGCTGCCCATTCGCGTGCTAAAACCAATAGAGATACCTGCGGAGGAGGCTAATTTAGTCCTTATGAAGCCCTTAGATTTGAATCAAGTTTTTCATGTAAGCAAATTACTAAATATGACTACAGTATTTTGTGCCTGCAAAGTGTACAGACTGGGTCAAATGTCTTGCACAGGATGCAATATCCTTGAGAAATTGGTTCTGATGTGCCCATTACTACACACAGTGTGCAGGTATCCCGGGACATTTGGCTGCCTGAACCATATTTCCCAGGAAATTTCCCCCCTTCCCAGGAGAACATGCTTCCTAGGAAAGTTGGCCCACCACAATATATTGAAAAAATATTGGGAGGTGAATTAGTTTGGTACCATTTTGCCAAGAACCTTTTTTCTTTCCCCCTTCCCTGCAAATTAGTGTAATATTATGGTTTAAATTCTGCAATCTCATGCAAGATCACCAAGACCTGGCTCAAATATACTGCAATTATATACAGTATTTTATGTAATATCCTACCAATTGCAAAGTTTATCAGTTTCTATATGTAACATTTATAATTTTATGTTAAATCAGAACAGTTTCTGAAGGGAATCGAGCTTGATGTGAAAGAAAGGGCTGAAAGAAGGAAGAAAAGTGAAACGGATGCAGAAGTACTGAAGTCAAAAGGGAACAAAGCATTCAAATCTGGACGTTGTCAGGAAGCCATTGATTGCTATACAGAGGCCATTAAACTTGTCAAGTACTTTCCTGCATTGTACACAAATAGAGCCCAGGTGAGTTGCACTAATTAGTTTGAACTGGAGACGAAAGAAAACAAAAGGGCGAATTACGGTCGAATACCCACAGACAATAGTCAGGGAACGAGGCTTCGCGCAAAGTTGTAAACGTTTCTATAGAACATTTTGCACTTGGCGTCGACTTGCATTAAGGCCCGGTCACACTACACAACGATAACGATAACTTGTAAACACGCGATGATTGGCAAAAAATGACTAGTCGTATACGATTGTCATTCTGGGGTATAAAAACGACCGCTGATGCCGCTGTTCCTGTTTATCAGTTTATGGCAGTATCTGGGCTGTATTCTAGAAAGTAAGCTGATGCTATACAGTGAGCAAGGTATAGTCTCATGTGAGTAAGGTATAGTCTCATGTGAGCAAGGTATATAGTCTCATGCTCTCATGTGAGCAAGGTATACAGTAGTCTCCTGTGAGTAGGCACCGAGTAAGATATGACACTAGCCCTCCAGCTATTCAAAAACAGCATTAACACTCAAGAGAAGCTCAGAATGAGCCTCCACTCATTGAGTGTGAGTGTGAGTGTGAGTGTGAGTGAGCTTTTGAAGCTTTTAGCTTTAAGGTATAGTCTCCTGTGAGCAAGGTATAGTCTCATGTGAGCAAGGTATAGTCTCATGTGAGCAAAGTATACAGTAGTCTCATGTGAGCAAGTTATAGTCTCATGTGAGCAAGGTATAGTCTCCTGTGAGCAAGGTATAGTCTCATGTGAACAAGGTATAGTCTCATGTGAGCAAAGTATACAGTAGTCTCATGTGAGCAAGTTATAATCTCCTGTGAGCAAGGTATAGTCTCATGTGAGCAAGGTATAGTCTCATGTGAGCAAGTTATAATCTCATGTGAGCAAGGTATAGTCTCATGTGAGCAAGGTATAATCTCATGTGAGCAAGGTATAGTCTCATGTGAGCAAGGTATAGTCTCATGTGAGCAAGTTATAGTCTCATGTGAGCAAGGTATAGTCTCATGTGAGCAAGGTATAGTCTCATGTGAGCAAGGTATAGTCTCATGTGAGCAAGGTATAGTCTCATGTGAGCGAGGTATATAGTCTCATGTGAGAAAGGTATAGTCTCTCAGCTGATGACTGAGAAGACTTGCTACAAGTCTAGTATTATTCATCGCTAGAAATCGCGGACATTTGGAATGCAGCTTCATTCTCGCCCCAGTCCCCATGTTCACTCTGATATTCATTTTTTATCAGGAATGCAGATGGTTATCCAATTTTTACATAAAATATCTTTGAAGAATCATACCAAATTAAAATTGTATAGTGTGGAAACAAAATTCCGTGAACTAATCAAGGAAATAAGAAAGAAAACTAAAAGCAATAATAAAATATAATGATTATTTACGATACTTAAAACTACGGGCAAGATTTGTAACTAATTTACCGAAACGACAATAATCCACCTTTCGCAAACTCATACTATGGCTTAATGATCGATGAACTTAAAAATGTATGGTAAAATTTAAATAATATGCAGATATTAGTAGCCGAAATAATTGTTCGCATACCTTAATCTGTGGTGTCAATGATTATTTGTTTCATTCCAAGTTTGCATAAAATCGAAAGTTTGTTTATTAGACACAATCATCAGGTTCTAATATTTCTCAATTTGGCGATGATTTTTTAGGCAAAAATGGCCCAAAATATATCATTCGAAAGCTCTTTTCTTCTATTTTTTATTTGTTTACATTTTGTAATCCTTTTAGTTTGTTTACATTTTGCAATCCTTATCCTTTTATAGTTATATTTAGAATAAGAAATTCCGGGGATCGAAAGGGGTAATAAGGGGCATAGACGTAAAGGATGTTTCGGGATTCAAATGTCCGCGATTTCTAGCGATGATTTAGCGCCCATGTGCATAGTTGTTTCCACTTTTTTTGTGTTTAGGCTTACATCAAACTAAAAAACTACGATGCTGCTATTGATGACTGTAAATGGGCAATAAGGGTAGGTTTTATCATTGATAGTCTATTTAAATTTTCGGAAGAACATTGCATTACCCCACTTTCACCAGAACCCCCCACCCCCGTGGAAAATTCTTCATTTTGTCTTTATGGCTATGGAAAAAAGTTCTGAAACAAGTTTTCAATTGCTTATTGAAGAATATGGAACGTTCAAGTACTTTCTTCGTTTTACAATTAATTATTTTGTCACAATTACTTTAAAGTACAGGTGTATACCGTATACAGGTGGTAGTAGAAAAGTGCTTGTATAAATTCCTGCCTTTATGACTAACGAGAACTACTGGCTAGTTTTAAATATATATAATATTATATTTCTTGTAAATTGTTTCATCTGGTGCTCAATTTTAGATAGATGAGAAATGCGTGAAAGCTTATGTTCATTGTGGTCGTGCGTTACAAAAGAAGGCGTGCTTTTCTGAGGTATATAGTACCAAAATCATTTGAAGAGCATTAGCTGACGCGCAGATTAGTAGCCTGCGAACAGGCTCTCAAGCTGAATTGAGAGCCTGCATCGATGACTAATGAATTTGAATATCTGCGTCTCAAATCGTGACGCGAAATTCTTATTGGTCAGATGCTATAATTTATATTATTCCGCTGAACTCTCTATATATATGTCAACTGCTAGCTATGCATAAAAAACACATTAACTGATTAAATTGGTCTTGGCCATCTTATCTCAAAGCACGAAATGTTCTGTTTTGAGAAAACAGTATTTAAAACATTTAAACTTTTGCTTCAATATCTTATATTTCGAAAAACAGTATAAACTGTACGGTCTAAATTTAGTTTGCGTGGTCTAAATTTAGTTTGCACGAAAGTTGTAAACAACACCATATAAGGATAGACATTCCATATTTGGAAAAACGAACGTTACGGGGCAGATATTCAAATTCATTAGTCATCGATGCAGGCTCTCAATTCAGCTTGAGAGCCTGTTCGCAGGCTAGCAGATTAGGTGTCAGGTTGGCAAGTGACTGGTTATTGATGAGAAACTAATTTTGTCACCCTAGGCGATTTCCTTATTCAAGAAAGGTGAAGAGATTGATCCAAAACAGAAAGATGTCATAGCAGGTAGAATTAATGATTTCAATATTTATTTTCTTTCCGTACGTGAACTAGTCTCTTCCGCAGGTAACTCGAACGGCAGAGTCACGCAATAACTTGCATAGCAAGGGAGCGTAACTGACTCACTCACTCACTGACGAGCCGCACAGGTTTAAACAGGATTAACTTTTAGCTGTTGCTTAACGCAGCATTAATAGGAAAAGTGTGAAAGGTGTTGACATTTGTTTCCAATTAATAGCCTGGATTATTTTCCCTTGCATGTAATTTAATGCCAAGTAATGAGACGTAGTTTAATCATCGAAAAATATTAACTAATCTAGTTTATGAAGCGACTTGTCAAGTTGTCATCACCAATTACTGCATATTAGAACTTCAGAAGATAAGTTTACAAAATTTTGGGCGCCAAATTCAATTGCGCCAAATCATCTGAAGCGAACAGCATGTCAAGCGATCATGGCGTACAAACGCGTTTACTCAGACAAGCTTCATACTCTAAAAAACTGGTATGCCTACTGGTATGGCTTTATCTGTCGTAACGAAAGACGCTCTATATAAAGGCTATAAGCTATGGCCATGGCCCAACGTGTTGGTTGACAAAAATATCAGCGAATTTGGTAAGACACTTTTTACTAATTTACATTTATTTTACAATAGTCATACACAAATATTGCTATTTTTATGTTTATTGACTCTGTAATCCAAATCGGTTTCTGTATTCTCTCCTTTTTACACATGTGCCAACCCCAACTCCATGCTGACGAGTCCATGAGACCATGAACATGAAGGACGAAACGCCGCGTACAGGGATATTGAATTTTACACACATGATTATCTCTTTCTCTCGCTCTATATATTTTACATGCCTTCATACAAGCTTTTTAGTACAGCGCGATCATACTCTAGCTTAATTTGGGTCTGATCAAATATATATTTTACACCACAGGATATATTTTACCTTTACAAGTTTACACATGCATGCATCTCCAGTTTTGTGTTTCATAAATCTACACCTGTAGGCTACTTATATTTCTTAGGTTCACATTTATACAAATACAAGTCGTTTTTTTATCTTTTACCTCAGTTTCATCAAATACAACATAATTTTCACAGGCATACATTGTGCCAACAACACGAGACCATCACTATGCTTTTCCAAACGTGACAAAAATATCAAGTCGTTAGTGTTATATATCAAGTCATTCGTGTTATATATCAAGTCATTAGTGTTATATATCAAGTCGTTAGTGTTATATATCAAGTCGTTCATGTTTTATATCAAGCCTTCGTGTTTTATATCAAGTTGTTCGTGTTATATATCAAGTCGTTCATGTTTTATATCAAGTCTTCGTGTTCTATATCAAGTTCTTCGTGTTATATGTCAAGTCGTTTGTGTTTGTATCAAGTCGTTCGTGTTTTATATCAAGTCGTTTCGTGCGTGCATGTCAAGATGTCAGCTTGTTTACATCAAGTGTTACGTTCGTGTTATACATCAAGAAAGGAGAAGATATTTTTTGATCGGCACTACTTTCACTCGAGGTCAGCGCTATTTCGGATCTGTCAGAGTACCTAGTTTTTCTATCAGCATGAAAACATATTCAAAATGGCTGCGCGAAATCGGTTATATATTCCCAACCTTGAAGAATTCTTTAACGATTTTTTTCAGCTAATCCAGCAATGTAGTAACTGTATACAGGAAAATAGTAACGGTTGATTGGCAGAATTTCTTGGTAGGCGCCTAGAGGAATATCGCAACAACACACCTGATCTTCTGAATGACTTCGAACAAATACTGGACGTTGTTAGTCGTATATTAAAGAGAACTTGGAATTACTTTATAGCGATGATTTTGGCGACGAGTTCGCAGAGAATAATGCACTTTGTACGACGGTAATTTTTTTTTTTTCCTTTTATTGCCCATATATTATAACATATAATTATTTACATTAAAAAAAAAATTAGATTAATGTTATGGTAGGGGCCTACCAGAAACCTTAAGAGGCTTTTATTTAAGACCCCTATAGATATAAAATTTAGATGCCAGTTCTAACTACAGACTATACAGTCAACCAAATTTAAAACATGGCCTTGTTGGATGACAACAATGGCCTTGTTGGATGAAACAAATCATGGCCTTGTTGGATGACCTCACTAAAAGTCGCTGTGAACTCACTCAAGATCAGAGACAAATTTTAAGAGGCGAGTTGGGATTTAGATGGGTAGACATTGCTACAATATTGGGAATATCGTCCAGAACCCTGAACAGTCGTCGTCACGCATTTGGTATGTCAGTCGGACAAGATTACAACTTCTCAAATATAAGTACTGAAGAACACGACAGGGTTGTTTGTGAAATATTAATATTGACACCACAGTCAGGCCTTAGCCTTGTCGGCAAAGACGGCGTGTTATAAAAACTCTACACAGACTTGTCCGACTGACATACCAAATTCGTGACGACGACGGTTCAGGGTTCAGGACGATATTCCCATGCAATATTGCAGCAATGTCTACCCTCTTAAAATTTGTATCGGATCTTGAGTGAGTTCATAGCGAGGTCATCCAACAAGGCCATGATTTACCGTCGTACAAAGTGCATTATTTATTCTCTGGGAACTCGTCGCCAAAATCATCGCTATAAAGTAATTCCAAGTTCCCTTTAATATACGACTAACAACGTCCAGTATTTGTTCGAAGTCATTCAGAAGATCAGGTGTGTTGTTGCGAAAATCCCGGAGTCTGCCGTACATCACGCGCAGCGAACGTTGATATTCCTCTAGGCGCCTACCAAGAAATTCTGCCAATCTACCGTTACTATTTTCCTGTATACAGTTACTACATTGCTGGATTAGCTGAAAAAAATCGTTAAAGAATTCTTCAAGGTTGGGAAGTATATAACCGATTTCGCACAGCCATTTTGAATATGTTTTCATGCTGATCAAAAAACTAGGTACTCTGACAGATCCGAAATAGCGTTGACCTCGAGTGAAAATAGTGCCGATCAAAAACTATCTTCTCCTTTCTTGATATATAACACGAACGTAAAATTTGATGTAAACAAGCTGACATCTTGACATGCACGCACGAAACGACTCGATATAAAACACGAACGACTTGATACAAACACAAACGACTTGACATATAACACGAAGAACTTGACATAGAACACGAAGACTTGATATAAAACATGAACGACTTGATATATAACATGAACGACTTGATATAAAACACGAAGGCTTGATATAAAACACGAAGACTTGATATAAAACATGAACGACTTGATATATAACACTAATGACTTGATATGTAACACGAATGACTTGATATGTAACACTAACGACTTGATATTTTTGTCACGTTTGGAAAAGCATAGACGCATGTAGAGGTCCTATTACCTATTCCAAAATTAAAATAATTGACGACGCGCCTCTGTAATTTGATTTGGAATATTTCTCAAGAAAGCTTCGATGTTGATTTCTGGGCTTGTATTCATGGCGCCATTTTGAAACCCTGAAAACATTTTTAAATTTGAAACATCCCCCCCCCCGCCCGGAATATAAAATAGCTTTCCGTCCACTATATAGGTCATAAGATGAAGTCAAGTCAAGTCAAAGCATTTATTTCAACACGATTAAATTCGCAGCATAGCTGATGTGGTCGTGCATTTACATAGTTAACATATCTGTACACAAACTGTTCTATTTAGCTGTCACTATAACAATACATTACACTATAATATCCTATTCTACAATAATAATATCTTACAAATGCTATATCACTTATGATAACAGGTTCTTAATTACTAGTTTAAACCTTTTAATGTCCTCTATTGCTCTTGTATTGTTATCTAGGGAATTCCATAACACTGCTGCTTGATACGAAATTGATTTCTTTAGGAAATCAGTCTTTGGTTTTGGAAGAGCAATAGTCAATTTTCTTCTTAGATTATAATTACTAAAATATTTTGCGAATAATGACTGTAGCGGAATAGGGGAATAACCATAATAACAAATTTGTGCTAAAGATAACAATCTCTGAGAATATAACTTCTCCAGAGGTTTCCAATTTGTTTGGGCTAGAACATCCTCTGTTGGTGTTTGCAGGTTCAACTTGTAAATCACCTTGGCCGCCCGTACGTGTATACGCTCAAGTTCATCAAATAGGGTTTTTCCACATGATCCCCATATTACGAGCCCATATGTGATTGAGGGTAATATAACTTTAAAGTAAAAATCAGCCCTTGCCTTAGTTGGTAAAAAATAAAGGGACTTTAAAAGATTAAGTTTTTGTGCGAATGACTTAGTTAGTTCGGTTACATGAGCTTTCCACTTTAATTTACTATCTATTTCAATTCCTAAACATCTGGAAGACTCGACTTGTTTGAGGTAAGTATTTCCTAATTTAATACCTTGCAATGGCCCCACGAATTTACCTCGCCCAAGTATCATGAATTCAGTTTTGTCCGGGTGTGGTGTTAAAAAGTTATTGCTACACCACTCATGTAGCTTGCATAGAACTCTATTGAGTGTTGTGGCAACAGAATCATGAGTTGGGCCAATTACATATATGGTGGTGTCGTCGGCATACATGTAGATATCACCTTCATCATCATCGCAGATTTCTGGCAGGTCGTTGCAGTAGAGAGAAAACAAAATAGGGCCAAGCACCGATCCTTGGGGAACACCATATTTAACTGGCATGGACTGTGATTGGCACCCATTTAAGACCGTCATTTGCGAACGATCAGACAAGTAGTCAGCAATCCAGGACCAAAGATCCCCAGATATACCGAGACCCTGCAGTTTTTGAAGTAATACCGAGTGTGATATTGAGTCGAAGGCCTTTCGGAAATCAACGAACACAATACCAACTACTTGATTTTTATCGAGCGCCTTTCTCCAATCTTCCGTCATCTTAGCCAATAACAGCTCGGTAGAGTGACCCTTTTTATAAGCCCATTGTCTACAGTTACTAAGTTGATTTTCCGTAATATGGGTTGAAATTGTTGAACAAACATTTGTTTCCATAAGTTTTCCTGGTACACATAACAAGGATATTGGTCGATAGTTTTGCTTATCCGTTTCGTCTTCTTTTTTGAATAAAGGCGTCACATTGGCTGATTTCCACGTTTTAGGGACGACATTAGAAGTTATACTAATTGTATAAAGTGACATCAGAGATGGTATTAAAGCATCTCCGGCAAATTTCAACAATTTAGGAAGTACATTGTCTGGTCCACTTGCTTTATCTGGTTTGAGATTCTTCAGGCTCCGCGAGATGACGTCCGTAGACAATGCGATATGCATAACTGTCGGAGTTATACGTGTAATATGTCTGAAGCAATCACCTTGATTAGATACAGGAAATTTGTTTGCTAACTTTTCACCTATCTTGGAAAAGTGCTCATTTAATAGATCAGCTTTTCCTTGGTCTGAGGTTTCCATTGATCCGTCGAATTTCCTAATACCCAGTATAGGCTGCCTCTTTTGGCTGTTGGTGGCATTCTTAATTAACTTCCAGTACGATTTGCAATCTCTCACTTTGTCAAACAGTTCTGTGTAATATTTCGTTTTGGCCAACCGGACCTCTTTCGTTACTGAATTTCTTAATTCTCGGTATTTTGCCCACAGTTCTTCCTTCTTTGTTTGTCTAGCCTTTAGAAGTGTTTTGTACCTCACGTTCATCTTGTGTCTTATTTGTGGAGTAATCCATGGAAGGGTCTTCCGTCTTATCTTAATTTCTTTATAGGGAGCATGCCTATCACATATGCCATTAAAAAGTTCCAACCATGTCAGTAACAGTCGTCGACGTCGTCAAAAGTTGCGCCAGCTGACCAGGGAGCTTCTTCGATATCTTTGACAAACTTAGATTGGTCAAAATGTTTGTAACTGCGCGCTTTCACGATCATAGGGGGTGGTCTTTTTATTTTCGTCATCAAACAAGCATTCACCAGCTTATGATCTGATATTTCCAACTCTAGCGTCATTGTATGTTTAATTAGTTATGCTTTACTGGTTATCACGAGATCAATTAGAGTGGAAGTGTCTTTTGTTACTCTGGTTGATTGATTATTGGCTACCGAATATTCAAATTGGATTAATAAGTTATGTAGTCTCTTCCCACAAGTTGACAGAATGATATCACCTTCCCTACGAGAAAAATCGCAGTTGAAATCACCCACTATCATAACATTCCTGTGTTTCATCCAGACTCTTTCCAACATCTGTTGAAAGTGACCAAAGAACTCATTATCATCAGGCGGTCTGTAAATAGTTCCTACTATAAAGACAGTGGAAAGTATAGTTCCTAGTATAAAGACAGTCGAGATCTTTAATTAACCAAATTCCCTCTATTTCAAGAACCTCTAGGGATTTAAGGCGCGAAGAGCAAATGTGATTGTTTATATAAACAAGACATCCCCCACCAGCAGCTCCTGAGTTTCTGTCCCTTCTTACAATTTTATAGTTGTCTATTTCGAGTTGCTTATTTGATATCTTTTGATTTAAATGTGCCTTCGATACGATAATAATCATGAGTAAAAATATCGCGATAATACCGAAATATCGCCCAACTTTATCACGAACTTTATTAAAGTGTTCAGAAATCAGAACTTTGGCAGTTCGGGACTTTGATGAGCTTTTAATATGGCATCGACTGTCGCCAGTTTTAAAAGGTGTAATTTGAAGTAGGGAAACAAGATCCGTTCACTTCAAGCAAAGGCATTAGAAATGTTGCCGAAAAACTGCGAATACTCATTACTCTAATAAAAATATTTGCGCGCCAGACAAACATAATTTCAAGTTACGTGCCACTGCACGCAGGACGTGCCGACTGGGGTGGGGGTGTAGGGAGTACATCACCCCCCAAAGAAAAGTCAGGAAGGGGGCACAGTTTCTCCAGAGGGCCCCCCAAATGTTGGAATTGCCGAACGTGTTAAATATTTGGAAATATTGTGAAACATTGAGGTCCAAAAAATGTGAAACACGTATTTTTAACCCCCTTTTATCCGATAACAGTTAGGAACCCCTCTCCCCCGTACGTCTCGCCAATTTTTTTTTGGAGGGGGAGAGAACTGTGAAGGGGGCCAAAGTTGTGTTCACCCCCACCCCAAACATATCAGTCGGCACGGCCCTAACTGCACGGGACATATCAGCTGATAGTTTAGACATAGTTAATGTATTTCATGATCAGACTAATTTCAAGATGTCAAGTCGTCTTCGAATTATCTTTGTTGACAATGTCAACAAAGATAATTTGAAGACGAAAGTTAAAAAGAAACCGAGCAAACAATACTCGATACAAACATATATATTACTACAAAGTGGCGCACAACACTCGCGTTTAAACGCGTTTAAAGATTTGATTATAAAAAGTATTCTATATTTTTAGCACAAGCTCAACATTGAGTTGGGGATAAGCGCGACGTGATTTAACATGGAATTTATCAAAAGGGGTATGCGAGTTTTGTATACAGGGAAATTAAAGGTGGTTGAATCAATCGGAGGATATCCCCGCCGGTTAAGTTGCTAGACCTGCTCACAAATGAATAAGATAAGGACATTTTACCAAGAAAATGAACTAACCCACAAATTTTTAGTTTAATTAACCAGGAAATTTTGACTTACAGTGTTGTATTAGAGTGCGTGTGGACTAAATTATTGTATATCCTTTTGTCACCAGCCTCGTACCCAGGCGCTTTAGAGAAAAAATATATAATCGCGCTAAGCTACTATTTAGAGATCAGGGCGAGCGCGCATGGGTGCTTGGGGAGGACGCTTCTTCCGTCGCGTCCTCCCCAAGCACCCCTGCGCGCGCGCTCAGCTTAGCCACTGATCTCTATATAGTCGCTTAGCGCGATTAGATATGTACGAGGCTGTTTCGTCACCTAAATCATTAATTTTTCTTCACTTCCATTACGTCATTATCATTTAGTTTTTCAGCATTAATAAGCGGCAATCGTTCTTCATTGTTACAGCAACATATCGCTGGTCTTCTAGTTTTACTGTTTATAGTGCGACAAAATATAATCATAGCTATTAACACAAGTAACGCTCCTAGACATATTAGAGCTATTTCAACATCATGAAAAATCTCCATTGGGATAATGATATCATTGCGAAATAAGGCTGTAGTGTCTGAATCTAACGTGGCTGATTCCTGAAACCACATGACTGGTACATAAACTTTGCGTACTGAAGCGGTTTCAGTTATATCTTTAACCGATTCAATCAGAACATTCACTTGCAGTCTGATATCATTTGAAGTAATAACACCCATATTTGGTTCAACATCAAACGAAAATTGGTGTTTCTCCTTATTTGGTTTGACGCCAACAACCCCATCTACCAAGCTTGGATCTCCGAGATAAAAATGCGGTGCGGAGATAAATACCGGGGATAGGACTCCCCCACCTTGACACTTTCGAGGGTCCAGAATGCCGGTCGGAAGAAATCCATTAGGATAAAATGCGGCATTATCAGGATTAACTGAGCCATTAAGAAATAATTCTTGAGGAATTGCAAACAGATAAACATCAATATCTTGGTCTTTTAGCTCACGATCGTAGGTTATATACAATGATCGACATAATTGGATAACAAATATATAAATTTTGTCGCTCTTTTTTACCCTGGGAGCAAATTGTCTACCATCCGTACCATTTAACATGTTGGCGTATTTTGTCAACCAGAGACCAACATGGTCTTTATCCTTCCAGCTTTTCCATTGTTCTAAATTCTGAATGTCCTTCGCCCCAGTGTGTACAACAGTACGGCCTTGGAGTGTATTATTAGGCTGAAGAAATACTGTGGAACTTAAAGGTGGAATGAAGTTTTTGAGTCCAGGTATTTCTTCCCTAAGTTTACTCATTTCGGCCAGAAGAGGATCCTTGTATCCCCATAGTAAGTCATGAACCTTGCGAGTAATGAATAATTGTTCATTAAAGTTATTCAAAATACCACTAACGAGCCTTTTCCAATGCAAGAAATCTGGATAATTTTTTAATATTGCAGCAACTGTCATTAGTGGTATATTAATTGTTGTTATTTCATCATTAAATGGATCACACGACTCACCGCACGACGATGCACTATCACTGATATACCACGTTCTTTCATCATAAGAGACAGTTGCATTGCTATGCTGCCATGTAATATTGAATTTCTGTGTATGCACTATGCAGGTATATGGACCTCTTTCCTCTAAAACTGGTTTAGCTCCTTTCTTTACTTCGTCTGGATTCACGATGTGAAAGAAATAATATTTTGCGTAAATTGGTACAGTTGATTTTACCCATGGCTTGTATGTAGGTGAGCCGGGTTTTAACACTAAATTTTCGTCAATTTTATCTCTAAAGACTTGGTCAATCACTGGTCTTAAAACAACACCAAGGATTACTAATATGATGCCAAAAATAGACTGACATAGAGAGAACTTGAGTCGTAGGCAGCAACATTGTTTCTTTCGTTGGCAAGGAACATGTTTTTCCATACTTTGTCTTTGGCCTAGAAATGGCAGAAAATATACATGTTTGTAGGCAGAATATTCTCAGTCTGTGCATACACATCAGTAACTTCTCGAGAATATTCAATACACATGCTGACATGCATGCATATGTAGTCCAACATTGTTACACCGCATATAGGATCGTCTTTAATATTGGCGCCGGCTTTGGCGCAGTTTTATACACTAATTTATGTTTGGATGAAAATATTGAATAAATTAGTCATGGTGTTCTACCAGATCTATGAATGCTGTAATATTATAGCCAACATTACCAGCATATATATATTATAAGCATAGCCGCGGTTTAATCATGACCTAACAGTGATGCATCCATGCAACCGCCGAATGTTGCATGTTAGACTGCATGCATGGTGGCCCCTATAAATGCATGGCATGGTTATTTAAGCCCGAGACGTCAAGTGTTATCTACCAGACTGGTAATTTGGTAAATCTCTCTGATACAACAAAACACACATTAAAAGATGATAGCCTATATAGAAACAATAAACCAACAATTTTTCTCACTAAAACCGCGTTTTGATCGAAGAGCCATTTTCGAACAACGAACGTTTACTACGAGGTTTAATATATACCCTTATTTATACATGCATGTATGCCGAGGGCTTTTTGTATCACTGACATAAAGGTAAATGACCAAATACGAATCGCCCGATTAAAAATTGCCGATCGAAAATATCGCATTTTCCACCGTTGGCGGGAATTGATGCAAAATAAATTCCTTTTGGAACGAAAATTCATTAATTTTAATTAAAAAAGCCTGTGTTGTCACTTCTGTTTAAGGCTTTTTGTTTGGCAAGACAATTAGTGATTAATATAATTGCTTTTCCTTTTGTTATGTACTGACTTGATTGATGTAGATGAAAATACGTGATTTCGACACAATTTTTAATCGGCTCGTATTTGGTCAATTTTGCTTAGAATGATACAAGAAGGGTATTATTCTAAAGCTAAAACCCTAATTATCTTTCTAAGTATGAAAAATGAAATCTGTATACACTCAATCCTCAATATTGAACGCACACGAGCGCATGAAATGTTATAAATCACAGAAAGATGAAATGTTCTCGAGTGAATGCGTCATGGACAACAAGAACAGTCGTCATAGGACGGATTGAAGACTGGAAATTATGAACTATATATATATATATATATATATATATATATATATATATATATATATATATATATATATATATATATATATATATATATATATATATTGCCCGTGTGCATTGTAGACTATAAATAGAGAACAATATTCAATAATTGAATGTAATCTGTCGTCTGATGATTGCCTAAAGTCCTAAAGGCATGAAACACTGTGTAACGATAGTTGTTAAATTATAGAATTGAGCACTCTTCTTGTCAAGAAAAACAACGCCTATGGCTATTATGCATATATATATATATATATATGTGTGTAATATGATATACGCACTCTTAAAACACTCTGTATAACTATAATCGTAATCATATAGGCGGCTAGGTCTTGACCATGAACTGTGATACTAGCTGCATGATTTGTGCACCTTCAGATCTTTTCAACATCAGTTGTCTCGATTGTAAAATCCGCCCTTTGATCATCGAAGTTCATATTCACAATTTCCTCCATATAATTATTGTATGACCAGACCATAAGTACTATTTATAATACGATGATAAAGTTCATCAAACGTTAATAGTATGTATATCATGTATACATTCCTTGTCTGATGGATCTACATATATTTGGCTTCATATAGTTATATATATTCGAACGTCGATGACTGCGCCATATCGTGTGGCAGCTGTATTTATTCAGTGGTGTACTGAAATTTATAATTACCGTTTCTTGCTGCATGATCGGATACACTTATCCTTAATTAAATTAACAGAAAACAACATTAATCATTCCCCAGGCTGATCTATATCCCCAAGTCACTGTCTGCAGGCAGGAGTGACATAAGGAGGATTTTGAAAATATATGCATGGGAAGTTAAAATAAAATGTGATTACTTTTTTCAATTTTACTTTAGAAATCATAAGAATTAAGCTAGACTTAGAAGAGATATATATGACGGGAACCGCGTTAAGTACAGTTTGCTTTGATTGCATGTATTTGTTGCTTCATGTAATCATGAATTTTTCAGTGTGATTACTGTTTTCTACTTAATTTTGGTATTAGTTAATGAACATTCCAAAACGTTTTACGCTTTTTGAAGCGTCAGCTGAGACTGAGTTTATACCTACGGCCTGCGAACGGCAGCCTCTACTTTGCTGCTGCTGCGACGTTATATTAATAGGAGCAGCAAAATAGAGGCGCGCTGTTTTCGCAGGCTAGAGTTTACCCGACATTAGATCGAAGCTTCATAGAATACCATACCTTTCGGAAATTGATAATATTCTAGAATTAATCAGTAAAACTACCACTTGGCATGAGCCAGCGCTCCATCAGCGTCCATGACTTAACTGTATGACGTAGCATTAAACCATGATAAAGTTGACTGCCTCTCTTAAAGAAGGTCTTCAGTAAAGTGTTTATTCAGAATTATATATTTTCAGAATTATTATTTCGCTGTCGAAATTTCATTATTGTTTAGTCTACCTTCTTCATCTCTCTGTCACAACTCAGACAGAGTTCGTGTCAAATGTCGCTAATTTATTTTCAATATGTAGCCTGTATCAACGCAATGTTGGTTGAAGTGAGAAGCCTTTTATGTATTTTCCGCGCACAGTTTCATGACATCGTTTGATCGAGGCTGTGTGCAGGCTATATGTTTACATAATTATATTCGGTAGAAGACGTCTTTCACGTCTGGGACAACCTGAGCTGGTATAAATATTGGAAATTAGACAGATAAATACTGAAAAAATCAAGGTGTAATCGGTTAGCGTAGCATTTTTCATTTTTTTCCGATCATACTGATACTAAAAATGCTCATAATGCCATGCATTATGCAAACTTATTTTGACTATTGCATCCCGCTGGAACCATAGTTAATTAATAGTATTTCTACTAACTTTGGCGGAACTGGACTCAAAGATATCAAAATGCTGCAAAATATCAAAATCGCGCTGCAAGAGTAATTTCTGCAGCAACCTATGATGTAAGACGCAACTACTTAAAATCAGTTTTTACGTATAACATTCTTAATGGCCACACCGGCGGGGGGCACAACGAAAAAAAAAAGCCATTTCACGATTCACGTGTCTTAAAAAAGCAATTTCACGGAAAACTAGATTCTAATAATAATAGGTTTATTTAATGCATGGTACAGTATCTACGCTTTAAGTTCTCTCACTTCTCTAATTGTCAGTTAAAAACTACATCATAACTTAGGTTACAAGTTTGAGTGACGAGCATATACGACGACCTCCGAAAGGCCTCCGAAGTTTTTACTCTTGTGCAATCGAGTGAGATCATATAAATTGATTATCGCGTATCATGTTTTAATATTATGACTATTATAAAATAGATCGAAATAAACAAAGCAAAATCACAGTTCACGGAACGGACATCCTTAATTCTCATTTCACGGAGCATTTTTATCGGCAATCACGCCTCACAGCTGTTAGACTTGCTCCAGTCTATCTGTCATTGTCATATAGTATCGATCCACTGTAGTGTACATTATATACATGACGTAGCACGGAGAGGCGGAGCGAGAAAGAGAGACAGTTGTTAACTTCGGAAAATCTCGGCAGCGTTTCCACTTGGAAGGAAATTTTGGCCTTTGGAAGGAAATTTGGAAGGAAATAGTGTTTGGAAGGAAATTGGGAGGAAATATTGTTATAAGGAGGGAAATGAGAAGGAAATTCTATTTTATCTCATAATTTCTAAGAATAAGGCAATTTTCATACAATTTTGTGCAAAAGAAGACTCTGAAAATGCCATTTCCAACGATCTAGAGACTCCATATTTTCAAAATTTTCCGCTCGGCGCCAACCATGGTGGCGCCTCGTGAGCCCCCAAAGCGAGATCTCACGGATGTTTTTTTCCAAAGTTGGCAACTATGCATTAGCGTTGCTTTCTTCCAAAGTTGGCAACTATGTATTAGCGCAAAGTTGGCAACTGTGGATTAGCACTGTCATGGTTTCGGTCATATCTTAGTAATAGGAAACAAATTTGCAAAGTGAATAACTCGCTATCAACCTTCCAAAATATTACATGCGGCATTCCACAAGGATCTAACCTTGGGCCACTCCTGTTTACAATTTATATAAATGATCTGCCAAATAGTTTAGAAATAACTGAACCCGCCATGTTTGCTGATGATACAAGCTTAACTGCAACTGGAGAGTCTTCTTTTGAAATTGAATACAAACTGGGGGTGGAAATCCAAAACGTTAAAACTTGGTTAGATGCAAACAAATTAACATTAAATGAAGAAAAAACCGAGTATATGCTAATCGGCTCAGGAAAGCGCTTAAAACAGATCAGAAATGACCCTATTATTAAAATTAGAGATCATATAATCAAACGGGTTTACAAGAGAAAGTCTTAGGCTTCGAAATAGACGATAAAATACAATAGACAAAACGTGTTGAAAACTGACAAACTAAAAAGATTTCTTGTTCTATAGCTATGTTACGAAAAGTGAAACCTTACGTACCTCAAGCAACACAACAGATGATGTATAAATCATTTGTACTCCCTTATTTCAACTATTGTTCAACTATATGGTATGATGGTAATAAAATGCACGCCAAAAAAATGCTCAAATTGCAAAAGCGTGCAGCACGGGTCATTACCAGATCGGGCTTAGAAGAACGATCTTCTGAAATTTTTCAAATGCTTAAATGGACAAAAATACAATCAATACTAAAAAAGCGAGAATTAGTGATGACATTTAAAGCACTTAGGGGTACGGCTCCAGAATACTTAACACAGATGTTTCATGTCTCCGTTAACCAAACCTACCAGCTACGAAATAATCATCAAAAGCTTTACCTACCAAAATCTAAGACGAATTTTTTAAAACGAAGCTTCTCCTATAGAGGAGCAGTTTCATGGAACCAAATTTCATGGAAAAACTTCCAATTACAGAAATACCTGAAACTTCCATCAGTTCTTTTAAAAGACTAATAGATTGCTTTTGTTTTTGAATTGGGAGGTCATCCTGCCAAACCATACGTTTATGTAAATAGGTATATTATGCATGATTGTTTTATATTTAATAATTTTAATATTTTTTATAATAATTTATAGTAAGTGTGCACGGCCCTTTGAAAAACAGACTTCTGAAAGGCTACCGTGAATAAATAAGCTTAAGCTTAAATGTATCTAGCACAGGATCCCAGAATCGCTATATTGAAATAACAACCAAGAGGGCCCCCTATACCTCTTCACAATATGCTTTCACGTAAAAATATTTTGCCTTTTCACGAGTCACGGATTAAGAAAGGGGGCCCGATCACGTTTCACGGCTAAGTAAATAAGCCCTTCACGCTTCACGCAAAAAGTATAGGGGGCCCTCAACCAAACCTCATACCCAGGCAGTTATTTCTCAGACTCTACTTGGGGTGGGCTACTTAGCGTGGGCAGGAAAGACCCTACGGATTTCTTGTGTGTGTGTGTGTGTCCAGAGGGGAGAGATGAAAGAAACAGTTATGGAATCCCTTTTCGCACCCACAGCAAGTAGCCCCCGATTATTATACTTTTTGTCCCCCAGGGGGGAAGATAAGCTAATTTTAACCGGCAAATTACAGAGTTATCTGCTATAAATTAATATAATGTGTTTCAATACTAGAATTAGATGTTAATTACCAAGTAAATCTGTCAATTTTGATAAAAATTTTGAAGGAAAAATGGAAGGATATTTAGAGATTTTTGGAAGGAAATTTTGTGGAAAAAAAGGAAATTTCGGGTTATGAAGAATTGTTATGAAGAAGGAAATTATTTTTTTGGGAGTGGAAACACTGATTATGGCTCGGTTCAAAACTGAACCGAAAATGCAAGACTTGCTTTAATTGTTTTCTTTCAATTTCTTTCTGTATTATTAACGATAATGGAACTCATGTTATGTAGAACAAATCACATTTCACGACACTAAAATCAAGCATTTCACGCAAACAAATATTGACCATTCACGCCTCACGAAAATACCCTTTCCCACCCGCTATGCATCCTCGTACCCAGGGTCTTTTTGGGAAGCTTCATGAAACAGTTGTAATTAGTTGTTGAGGCTAGCGTGACTAAGTCTAAAGTCAGTATGTGTGTGTATGTATGTATGTCTAGTCAGTTCCACCGACTAACCGTGGTTCCACCCAAGCAAAACAAGGAAATACACGCTACGCAGCTTCGGTACGATATACGGTTGGACTGGAAAACGTCGATGTTTAATTCGTATAGACTATACTATAAAAAAACTGAGACGTATATACGCACTCATATAGATGGATGTCAAATCAAAATGTTATATATTTTCTTGGTTTCATTCTATATACCAGTTTCCAAGTTCCAAATGTCCATCTCGTATTTAGGCAAGTTCCAAATGTCCATCTCGTATTTAGGGAGTGGTCATTATTTATGGGGAGGGGGGGAGGGGGTTGGGAAATGGGAGGGGGGGGGGCAAACGAAGTTTTACCCTTATAAATAGGGGGAATCAAAAAAGTTTTAACACAGAGAAAGGGGGGTCATAAAAGTTTTTGATTTCTATAATCACAAATAGCAAAAAAGAAGACTCTGAAAATGCTATTTCCAACGATCTAGAGACTCAAAATGTTCAAAATTTCCCTGCTCGGCGCCAACCATGGTGGCGCCGAGCGACCGTTGAGCCCACTAAGTTTAACAAGCTTTCTACCTCCTGAGTGACCCAGTTGTGGTATTTACATAAACATACCATGCAAGTACACTTAACTGATCAGATTCGGTCTATCAACGCACAATGTAACGCTGTATATCCAAAAATCTGTTTCAGAAAATGCTCAGAGGAAAATGCTCACATTTCAATTCTAGGGGTGGAAAAATAAAAAAATTTTCTGGGGGAGAATACCCCCAGACCCCCCTACTAGTACATACGATACCACACCAAACTTTTTGTCACCAACAACCATCTGTCATCTCTCCACACTCAATATAGTATGGTCCCTTTTTGTAGATGCCCACCCCCCAGACAAGTTCTTAAAAAAAACCTGTGTTCAAATCATTTCGCTGTATGAAGACGGGTCATGGGTTAGGGTTATGGTAGGACAAATGTTGCATTGCAAAGTAGTAACACATAATATATATTTTTTAATCATATATGGTTGAATCATATTCACCAGGGTAAAACATCATGAGCTAGATTAAACAGATTGTCCTAATATCTAACTTTACCTGCAACGCACACCTGTTTCATTGCTGTTAATTTTTCAATCCACACTGGGGGGGGGTCAGAAAAGTTTCTACTTTTATGAGGGGGGAGGCACAAAAAGTTTGCCTTCAGTCTGGAGGGGGGGGGGTCAAAAAAGTTTTCAATCCTTATTTTCCCCATTTCCCAACCCCCCCTCCCCATAAATAATGACCACTCCCTTAGTCGACACACTGAACCGGAACAGTCAAGTCCGTTCTGCGCCTATTAATGTAAACATTGCCCAAATTCATTCGAATGTTTCGAATTTTTCTAAACATAAACTCTTACTATTTCATATTCATTTAGAAGCCTTAGAAGCATAGCCCCAAAATGGTGTTAGATATTCTCAGACAGTACATCATATTTTAAAAAAATACAGCAGTTCAAAATGTAAACAAACTGTTTGTTTACATACGGACTTGACTTCCACTTTAAAATCTCAAATTCTTATAAATATAATTTAACAAAAACTACATACTGAGGTGGTCCTCGAAGCCTAAAACAAATTTGATGAAAAGGACTTTTGAGTTTTGATGCTGTTGCTATAAAAGACTGGAACTATAATAATAAAAAATTAAAATATATTTAAATAATTAAACTTCAATATATATATGACATATGTTTAACGCTTCGACAAAAACATTTTTTACTATCCTTTTTAAATATTTTTATTATAAAATAGTCGGTTTCGAATTTTTATAGGTCTGTATTTATTAACACGGTTACGGTCTAACGAAAAACAACCTTCAATTTATCAGTTTTTGTAAATACTTTACAGTTTACACAGAACGTCTTCTATAATGACTCTAATATAAATACGGCCAATTGCAGCGCTGAGCAGTGCCAGTGGTTTGAAAATCAGTTTAAAGGGGCCCTACAGTCATTTTTTAGTCGAAAAGCCACCTTAAGTAGGGGACTCCACGGAGATTCGTTTGGCTGTATCTTACATGCAGTATCCAAAAGTATGAGTACTTCCGCACACCGGAAGACGCATGCATGCCATGGTGCGCATGTCAAGTAGCGACAATAACAAAAAAATGTAAACAACACTTAAGGTGGCTTTTCGACTAAAAAATGACTGTAGGGCCCCTTTAA